TTTGCCTTGTGGAATATCTGCATATACATAAGGATATATATCAGGCTGGAACCTAAGTCCAAACACAAAATTCACTCGTTTTTTACATATCCTAAACGTAATTCTACATGCTATTTTGAATAATTTTGTGCAGTGGGGTTTCCTACTTGTGGCATCACGTCGGTAGTACACTTAGCAACAAATGAGTCACTCCTTTCCCTTTGTTCAGCTGTGAATACCACACCACTCTGATCATCAATGCTTCCATGATCCAGAAACAGGGAAGTTGCGTGAGCACTTCCCTTCTCTCCAACCATAAACCAAACATCACCCTAACGAGCATTCAGGCTTAAACTTAGGAGGGTGCGATGACTGTTGACATCAGAAAAAGCGACAGTGGAAGGCAACCTGGACCAGTGGTGTCTGACCCTGGGAAGACTGGAAGCCTTTCTCAGACCCTTCCTCACACCAGCAGCCTGAGTTACTGATTCCCTTTTTGCCTTTGTAGCAAAAGACACTCGTCCCCCTCCTCCCATCCCCAGCTAGTATACTTTAGTTTGTTAGTTGCCCAGGTAATAGTGCTGGTTACAGTTCCTGTTGCTTTTGTTTCTTATAAATGGCTGGTCGCTATGATGCCGATTGTAAGAACCAATCCCCAGGTAAGCCATGCGGGGCCCAGGAAGAGAGGTCAGATAGCACCTCCCGTGAACCCCACAGTACACAGGCTGAAAATCAAGAGCTCCCTCCACCCCCACCCCATAAGCAACTGGCTGGTTCAGAGAACAGGTGGTGTTGACAGCAACTGAGGTACAAAAAGCAACTGAACGCTTGCATTGTTTAGTTGACTTTGCAGGTCTGGGGCCAGAAGTCTGAGCATCTATTGGGAGGATGAGAGTATGCAGTATAGCAAACATGGGGGATTTCCTACTATCGTGTTTCAAGATGCAATACTGCTCTCCCTGTTTGGTTTTGTTCCAATTAATTGTTTTGCTTTATTCAATTTTCTTTTTTGGTTGGTCTTATTATGGCTTTTTTGTTTGTTTGATTTTGCTATATCTGATGGAACAAACAACTACTGTGAAGATAACAAGATATACTATGGTGGTCATTGTTGTTTTTCTGTTATCCTGCTTAGAAGTTCTGTACCAATTTCAACACTTTGTTGTGATTGGTTTTATTCTGTTTGGTTGGGTTTATTATCTTTAAAATAAAAGAAAAAAAGAAAGAAGAAAGAAAGAAAGAGAGAAAGAAAGAAAGAAAGAAAGAAAGAGAGAGAAATAAATTGTTCCCCCAGCCAATGGTCTGTGAGTCAAATAAAAAAAAAGAACCAATCCCCAACTGACAAACCATTCTGCCTCTGTACTTCCTGCTTGCTCATCCCATATAAGCCTAGACACCAGAGATCAGGACCTGACATTTTGAGGGACAACTAATTCCTAGTTAGTACCCATCTGACATAAAATAAATCTGCCTCCAAATCCCAGGCATCATTTTGGTGTTTCTGCTTCACCCTCTTTTCCTCTTCACCCTTCTCCCTGTTTTTGCTACCATCCCATGATCTTCAACAAGTGTTCTTACTTGCTAGACACTACAAGGTGTATGCTTGGCAATTCTTTCCTCATTGTACATAAGAACCTAGACTGTTTTTGGCCCACTCAACTGTAGCATCAGTACTCAAAAAGTTTCAGGTGATTTGGGCTAGTTGGATTGAGATGTTCATTCTACATATTTTAAAAATCTGTGGGTCAAACAACTTCTGTTTCTTCTGAAATATCTTAGACAAATGAACAGTGTGAAAAAGAATTTGGCCATTGGCTGAGCGGTCTCCACTAATCCCAACCACAGGTCGGCTGAATCTCTGCACAGAGCAGAGTTAGAATGGAAGTTCCCCTGTGTGCCTTTCTACCCAGGCCCCCACCTTTCTCTTTAGGTAGCCAATGACCTGAGTTTACTTACTGTTTCCATTTCCTGTTAAAAAATAAATTATCACAGATGTAAATATGCAAAATTGGTAGGTACTTCTTTGTATGTCTAAAATTTTACATTAATTTCTCATACTAAAAACATCATTCTCTACACATGTTTTTGAGATGTATAACTTAAGCTACATCTATTAATTTTGTTTTTGCTGATCCTCAACAACTTTGTGCCCAAACCTCTGGTCCTTCTGATAGGAACAGAGGTTAGTAATAATAACATTGATAATGACAGCTAACGCTGAGTGTCTGCCACACCCCAGACCCTTCTGTGCAAGGGTCACTTTATTTAATTTGGTATCCAAAGCAAGGAAGTACTACAGTTTGGATCCAGGTGAGTTTGGTCTCCCGAAGGTTTGCAGGCTGGAGATCTGGTCCCCAATGTGGCTAAGTTGAGGTGATGGAAGTTTAAAGGTGAGGCCTAAAGTGTTGGGGACATCACCCTTAGCAGACATACATTTCCTATGAGGTCCCAGTCAGTTCTGGGTTGACATAAAAGAATAGACCTAACCCCTGAGTCCCTCTGGCTTCATTTCACTGTCTCCAGCATTTGTGTGTGTGTGTGTGTGTGTGTGTGTGTGTGTGTTTTCCTTTTTATCAGTACTGGGGATCGAACTGACTGCCTGCTTGCAAGGCAGGCGCTTAAGCCGCTGAGCTAAAACCCCAACCCCCATCTCCAGCATTTTATGGCTGAATAGATAGGACTTCTGATTTTAAGAGTTTCAGCCGCCCAAAACTGTAACCTCAAGTACTTTTATTATAGCAATAGAGAAAACCTGGTGTCAGCCATTGCTTGGTGTTTTATACAGCTTATGGAAATGGTCCTAATTTTGTTCATGTTTCTGGCAACGATTCCGTGTTTGGCCATATGACTTGCTCTGGCCAGTGGAACAGTGGCAAACATGATGCAATCTTAAAAAGTGCTTAGCATGAGAGCTCGCTCTCTCCCTGTCTTTGGAACCCATTGCTACAAGAGTGAGGCCACCTTGCAGAGAAGAGGAAGGTGTTCCAGCCGATGTCAGGAAGCACCTGCCCCTCCAGCAGCTGACTTCAGACATGAGCAGGCTCCTGTGGCACTAAGCCAGCTTGACCTAAATTGCTAACTGTCCAGCTGTGTCTCAATAAAGAGCCACTGTGTTGTTGTAAAGTTCAGGTGACTGCATCCCTGATAGACCTAGATGGTTCACAGCTCCCTCTCACTGACTGGTATTTGCAAACTTGACTTTGTCCCTTATTACTTGACCAGAAAACACTATCCTCATTCAAGAACCACAAACCACAATAGGTAGCTCCCCTCTGGAAAAATCAAACGATGCCCAAAATTTGTCAGACCTGAAAAGCTCTCACACATGCTATGAATGCATATCTCATGACTTGATGACCATAATCATCCCCAAGGAACACCTTCTGGAGGAAAGTGAACCTTCAATCAGCAGGCCTTTCCCTAGAGAATTATAGGCCACACGGGTGTACTGGGGCAGTCTTGCCCTCACACTGAACTCTCCCAGATCTCACCCTATGCACAGCTTCCTTTGGCTGGTTCTGACTTAGATCCTCTGCCTGTAGTAAGCATGGCTTGCTCATTCCTATAATGAAATACTTGAGGCAGTTAACTCTATAAAGCCCACAGTATTGAAGGCTGAGATCATGTGTCAAAGATCATGTGGCCTCACAAAGGTCTTTGGCACGGACCTGGTGGTGGAAGACATCAAGGATAAAGCATGTGTAGGAGTTGGGCGGACGGAGACACAATGTCACATAGGTAACAGAGAGCCATCCCAGCCCAAGCTTGAGCTCAAGGGTCCCATCAGAGCTGTTTTAGTTGTTTAGAAGAGGCAACAGCCAGGCAGTGTACTGAACCATGAGGGCGCGCCCAATTCTGACCAACCTTACCTGTCTGGGTGCATCCAGTCCCGACCCAGGAAATGGTCTTCTCAAGCTTTCAAGAGAGTTCAGCTCAGCCCTCCCAGGCTCCCCCCAGGCTCACCAGTCTGCAAACCAAGCACTGCCTTCCTGCTTCCCCTCAGTGGGCTCTATCAGAGCCTCTGCAGAGCAGTGCAATTCCCTCCGACCCTCCAGAGTGCCCCAAGACCATCCTCCTTCCTGGGGATCCAGGGGTCACTCCAGAATTTGGAAAACACCTTCACCACCCAGGGTCTACCTCAGTTCACTGTCATAACTGCTCTGCCATAGGGCAAGGTATCTGGTTTCCTTGGCGGGAGAGGAAACGAAAGCACAGACAAGTGGGACAGTAAGTCAGTGATGGCACTGCAGCGAGAACTCTGGCTTTTGGTGACCACCACTGAACTCGAGCCTAGTGAAGGGTGGCAGTCACTAGCCCTCCATCTCCTACTGTGGCCACCAGCTGGGAGCGGCCTCACGGGCAATGCTTGTTCCCACACAAGCCAGAGAACTGTGACCCTCCACCATCTGAAGCGTGTGCAGTGGGCAGGTCCCTTCCCTGAGGCTCCTGGAGTGTGGGGCTGGCACCTGGGTCCCTTCTGAGGCATTCTGTGACTGTACCTAGTGCCTGTTCATGTCCATCCTTTGGGGTTTGTGGATCCTCCATCAAAATGCAGCACAGTACGTGATAGAACTAGTGACAATACTGTGACAATGACTTCTCAGCTGCTTTCTACAGCTGGCCTTTTATAAGCCTCAGTGTTTCACCCTCATTGCCCCAGGAAGTGGGCTGTGTTATCACCCCCATTTTACATATGAAGAAACTGAGGCTCCAAGAAGTGACAGTGCCCAAGTGAGGAGTGAAGTCCAGGGCGTTGTCATGTTAAAGGGCCGGCTCCCGCTGCCACCAGAAGTTGCTCAGAGGAGCTTCTGGAGGTCAGTTTTAGAAACAGACTACATCATGGAAGTCCTGAGACTCATCTCGTGGCCTGGAGCCCCTCTGCTGCTCCTCAAGAAGCATTATGGGAACTTCATTAAAAGCAAGGACACGGCCAGGCAAGGTCCAGAACCCCAGCCTCTGCACCCCACCTTTGCAGCCCCTCATCCTGGGCCCACAAGCAGACACAGCAGCCCAGCCTGAGCCTGTGAGCAGACACAGGTTTATTACCACAGACTCAGCATCCTGCACCGGCACCCCAACACCAGCCCCAATGTAGTCCCAGTAGCTCTGGTAGCCATAGGCTGGTCCCCAACGCTGGACCAGGCCCAGGAAACAAGAGCAATGACCTCAGTCAGAGCTGAGGCCTGGAGCCTGTCAGCCCTGAGCACCTCCCAGCCCCCCTATACACCCCTCTCATTCCCTAGGAGTCCAGAAAAGCCAAACACAGATGCAGAACCCTGCAGGGCATGGCTGGCTGGGATGGGAGCATCTGCAGGCTCCTCCCTGCAGAAAGGCAGTCTGGAGTCCAGCCAAGACACGAGGCCCCAGCCCCAGCGGGACTGGAAACAGGAAGTGTGAAGCTGGAGGGGAAGGTTCCCAAGGACCGAAGGGGAAAAGGGCTGACCCCAAACACTTGGGTCTTAAGTTGTTCTGCAGGGGAACCTGGCCCCCATGCCTAAGCCGCTGAGGTTCATAGTAACCAAGGTGGAAGAGCAGTTCCTTACTCCACCTCTGCTGGGATGCCACTGTCACATCCTTCCCCAGGCCTAGAGGGGCCTGGAAGCCCTACTCTTCCATGCCCCAGGGGACAGGAGCTTCAAGCCCTCGGCCAGACACTGGTAGGGAGCCCAAGGGCCACAGGCTCAGTGTGGTACAAACATCTTCAAGGAAGGAACATGCAAGTATCATCTTCTGCCAAACAAACTCAAAGGGGCTTATTCCTGTGCAGGCTGCACCCAGCTGGAGCTCAGAATTGCTCCTCTATTCATGGGAAATGTTCTCCTTCAGCACCTGCTGGACAGTCTACCCCAGTGCCAGGACATCTGTGCCATGCTCCCAAGTCCACAGTGGTCCTGGACAGGGAAAGGGCAACTCAATTCAGAGGCATCACAGTTGATATAGCTCACTGGCCCCAGGGCTGCTGCACAGTAATCCCAAGGAGACAGCCTTAAATTCACCCCCAGCTGCAGGCTCAGACACACTCAAAAACAGGGGCCATCACAACTGCACCTTAGCCTCTTCCCACCCATCTCTGTCCCCTTGCTCAGTGGCTCCCTTGTGAAAGCCTCCCTGTGCTACTGGGCCAGGAGGGAAGCTAACTGGATGGGTAGGGCAGGCAGGGCATTGCATGCTGGGATATTCCACTGAGGCTGTTATATTTCTTCCATCTGTCCAGAGCATCTGTAAGCCTGCAGTGGTGTGTATTGGCTAAGACCGCACTGTCTGAGATGTTTCAGCAACCCCTCAGCTTCCTGGGTGGCCTCAGTCCACCAGGCAGAGGATTAAAGTGGGAGTGAAGTGGGAGAGAGAGGGAGGGATTTAATACTAACATCCTGCTTAGGTGACATCGCCTAAAACACATGAAAGCCCAGGGAGGGGGTGATGAGGGGCAAGGCGAGGGAGTGCACGAGGATGGGGGACAGCAGATCAGGAAACTCAGGAGACCAGGGCTCTTCCCTCGGGCCTCCCCTGTCCCTGGACAGAATACTCCTGGAGCATCCCCAGGTATTCTATTCCTTTGGCACCCTGACGCCCAGCTTGGGCCCACAGGAGGTTCCTGAAATGCCTGTGGCATGGTGTGCGCTGGGCCTGGGGCTGCAGGTCGAGTCCAGTCCTCCTTGGTCACCTGCCTGGCTTTGCAAAATGATGAGTCCTGGCATCCTCAGTGGAACTCCTGGCTCTGCAGAGACAGAATAGGGGCAAGTGAGCAAGGGAAGAAGCCACTCTGAAGCACAACCGATGAGCGGGGCACAGGCCTCAGGCTGGGTCTTCTCTGCACCGCAGACAGAGATGTGGCCCACCGATGCTTGCCAGCATCTGCTTGTTTGAGAATGTTGGCCTGGCTCTTCCCTCCTCCTCCCCCACTACCATCCGGTTCACTCCTTTGCATCTTCAGGGCCTCGAAGTCATCACTGCCTACAAAAGGGTTCCCAGTCCTCTAGGATACAGAGAACCCACAGTGACAGCACAGGGATTTCCTTCTCTCTAAGGTGTAAGGTGGGGCAAGAGGGCAGAAACAGGACGATCTCACCAGCCCAGTACACTAAGTCTAAACGGGACAATTAAGGGAAGGGCAACAAAAACTGTTATTGATTTTTTAATTCTTTTTTTTTTTTTTTTTTTTTTTTTTTTTAGGCAAGGTCTTGCTTTGTAGTCCAGGCTGGCCTTGAACTTACTATGTAGCCCAGGCTGGCCTTAAACTTGTAGCAATCCTCCTGCCTCTGTCCCGAGTGCTGAGATTACAGGTACACACCACCATGCCCAGCAGCAAGAAATACTTAGATTTCTGTGTGAACTACAGCACCCATGGGCTGCTTACTTCATAAAGGTCTGCTCTCCCTGCGGGGCAGGAGTGCCTCCCAGCACAGCCAGAGCATGAGTGGGTGAGTAAGTGGAGCCCACAGTACGCACCTGACAGCAGCTGCTCGGCAGATGTTGAGCCAGTGGTGTGTATGTGTGAGCACATGGGTGTTGGGGAGAATGTGACCTGACGTACCCATGATCTGGGTCCCTGCTTCTGCCGGGAATGGGCTTTAATTAACGGGGAACTGAATGCTCAGAACAGAGTAGGCCTCTCCTCCTACCCCCAGTCCCCATTCCCTACGGGCTCCCACTCTCCATCCCTCCTCTGCCACACCTGGTAGACAAGGGTCAGGTCAGGAGGTGGACGAAGAGGATGGCCAGGCCGATGTTCAGCAGGATCACCATGCAGATGAGGACAGTGTTGGGGACCTGGAGCACGAGAGAAAGGCTGAGTCCCAGAGCCACTGGACACTCCAACCCAGGTTACAAGGATGGGAAGGGGGTAGAAGCTTCTGAAAGGATCTCTTAAGAGGTCCCTTGATTTGTTCTCTGGACACAGACATGAGAGCTGGAAGAATTCTTGGAAATCATTAACTCCACCTCTCAGGGTCCAGAAACCACAGAGTAGGCCTGGAATGTAGGTCACCCCCCTTTGGGACCACTGTCCCCTGCCTAGTGGCACTGTTTAGTCCCTCAGACTTACTAGTGTTCGCTGCTGCAGTCTCTCGATCCTGCTTCCCATGGGCAGAGAGATCCAGAACCCAAACCTCCTGAGGCCCTTCGTCCACACCCAGGAAGCCCTCCTTGCTACAGCCCAGTGGATGATGCTGGTGCCCAACTCACATCCCCCAGATGGAGCAGGTACACCTGTCCTCTGCTCCTGCTCCCGAGAACTCTGCAGCTGGGACCCCGGTGCCAAGGTATCAGCCTTCTGGTGAGAGGGCTCTGCCCTTGTCATCTGGACTTCCAGGTCCCTGAGATCAGGCCAAGGCTGCACTGCACAGCCCCACCCTATCCTGCTTCCGCTGCGCTTCCCCTCCCCCCAAGTCCCCCTGCTCCCCGTGCTGCCTCAGGCCCCCTAAGGCATCTTGCTGCGCCTGCGATCTCACCTCCTCCACCTCCACCTCGGCCTCCGCGGCCAGTGCTGCCTCCTTGCGAGCCTTCTTCTTGGCCCCCGCCTTGGTCAGCCCTCGGGCCTCGGTCTTGCGGGCCTTCGCCTTGGGCTCGGCTTTGGGGACGATAGGCCTGGGCTCCAGCTTGGCAGGAGTCTGGGGCGCGGATTCGGGGCTGCGGGACGTCGGGTTCTGCGCCGAAGCTGTGACCGGGGACGAGGGCGCGGAGTCGGACCCGGAGGCCTCGGCGTCGCCGCGCTCGGGCTCGTCCTCGAAGGGCGGCGGCTGGGGCGGGCCGGTGCGCACGGCGTAGCTGTGGTAGCCCCGGTACAGCGCCACCTCGGCCTCGTGGGGCTGCGCGGGCGGCGTCTGCAGCGCCTCGATGGCCATGTGCTCGGCGGCCGGGCGCGCGGGGCTGCGGCGGCCCGCGCCCTCGGACGGCGTCACGGGCCCGCTGCCCTCGCCGCCGGGCTCGCCGTTCCAGGCGCCCGGAGCCAGCAGGCCGTTCTTGGCCGCCGCGGGCCGGGGCCGCTTGGGCTGCGGGGGTGTCCCGGTCGGCGACGGGGGGGCCTCAGGGCGCGGGTTCTCGCGCTCGTGCAGCTGCGGGCTCTCGCGCGCCCGCACCGGGGGGCCCGCGGCACCCGCGTCCCGCGTGGGGGGCCCCAGCAGGCTCTCCGAGTTCTCCAGGATCTCCTGGAGCAGCCGGCGCTTCTGATATTCCGGACCTGCCAGGGAAAACAGGGGAGGCTGGATTCGAACCCTGGCCCCACTGCTGGATGATCCAGCATGTAACCACCCCGGGCCCCATTCATTCTGCCAGCATTCGATGTCAAGGACCAAGTACTGGTCTGAGCAGTCTCCCAGTATGAGCTCATTTATTTTAATAACCCGAGGCCGGTGCGGTTGTGGACCTCCATTTTACAGATGGAAAGAGGGAATCACTTGTCCAGTGTCACACATCAACAGGCTCACCATGGCCTTGGTCTTTTTCAATTTCCTTGAGTAAAAGCGAGCCTAATCATAGCTACCCCATGTCGTTGTTAGGGTTAATGGTGGAGAAAATACGTGTCAAATGCTGAGCTCCGTGTTCCGCACAGTTACAGCCATCGCCTAAGGCACGCCGGCGTGCGTCCTGGGACCAGCAGGGGGAGCACTGTGACCATGAGTGATGGGTCATCCGCGCGCAGCCACCACGGATGCGCTGCCCTCCTGTCCTCCCACCCAGCGACCCTCTGGTCCCCTTCCCGCGGCCAAAAGAATGCTTAGCAGACACCCATCCCCTCACTCACAAACTCCCGCAATGCAAGAACACCAAGCCCAGCCCCCGGGGCTCCGGCTGCCCTGCCAAAAGTCACTCATCTGTGGACCGCGTCCCAGTGGGTGGGAGGTCGCTTCACTCTGAGGCCTCCTTCCTCACCATTTACTCCCGCCAGCCACTCTCTCCCGAGTCTCCGTGCCTCTGCACCCGCAGGTCCCTCCTCTAATGTCACCTGTCCCTCCCAGTGCTACCTGGTGTGGTAGTTCTCAAAGCGTGACAGCGGCAGCACCCAGGCGCTGGTAAGAATACATATCCATGATCCGTTCCAGACCCAGAAAATCAGGGACTCACTGATGGGCCCCACAAGTGAGGTCAAGTTTGGGACTCACTGACCTCATGTGACCTGCAAGATGTGGCCCAAATGGCCTCTCCCGGAACACCTGCCTTTTCCTCAACAGGTGAAGCACCTCCTATGCGCTGCTGTGGTCCTGTCCTCACCACGCAGCACACGCTGTGAGGCTTAATCATCAGCTCAGTTGCTGACAGCTTTATATGCACATACTCAGTGCTCAAAAAAAAAAAAAATAGGAGTGGGGTTGGGGAGTGTAGCTCCGTGGTAGAGCACTTGCCAAGCACACATAGGGCCCTGGGTTCGACCCCCAACCCCCAATCCTGCCCCCCTGCCGCTGGCGCCAAAAAAGGAGTAGGGACTATTCTTATACCCATGTTATAGACCAGGAATCTGAGGCTTCCAAGGTCTCACAGATGGTAATCAATACAACCAGGATTTGAGCCCACACAGTCTTATGCCTCATCCCATACTATGCTGTCTTTGTGATCTGCTCCTTCCAAATTCACAGCCCCAGAGTCCAGCACAGAGCCTGACATATAGGCGCTGCTGGCTTAATGCTTGACAAACTGCAGGAGCAGGAAGTTCTGTTGCTCCCTCATCCACCACCTCTAAGCTTCACCAACTCTGACCCTCTGCCTTGCTCAGCATAGAGGGAAGAGCCAGGCTGGGGTGGCAGCTTCTGCTAACCCCACCACCACAATCTCAGCATGAAGGCAGGGTTACGCTCACCGTGTTCCTTTGCCCCTTCCTACCCTATTTACACCATGTCCCAGAGTTTCCAAAATGCAGAAGCATTCATGAGCCCTTTTAGGCATCTCCGCTTTGCAGCAAGTGAAGCAAAGTGCCCAGCCCTGGGACTGCCCCTTCCCACCCTGGCTGCCTACCTGGCTGGTAGAAGTCTGGAGCCAGCTCCCTGGCCAAAGTGCGGGCGATGTTGGACTCCTGGTTGGCGGCCAGGGCAGCCTGCTCTGCTGCCTCAGCTTTGGCCTTGGCATGGCTTGTCCTGCGGAGAAAACATGGCAGGAGACTTAGGGTCCTGTCAGAGAACTGGCCGCCAACCTTTCTTCCCCAACCCACAAAGAGACACTGTAGGTACAGCTTTCTTTCGTGAAGGCCAAGGGTGGCGAACCTATGGCACACATGCTGCAGTGGGCACGCAGAGCCCTCAATGTTGGCACGCAGCGCCCCAGTCGTCCCAGCAGTCAAGCATCAGGTAACAGGTGTTTTTCTGAAACTAAAACCTCAGTATTCAGGTTTAATTGCAGTGTTGGCACTCTGTGATAAATTGGTAGACTTTGGGTTGCATTTGGGCACTCGGTTCATTGCCACTAATCTATGCAGCCAGTGACTATCCAGCCCTGTGGCCCAGGCCGTTGTGTATTCTTGCAACCATTTTAGTCCATTTGCTGGGCACATGGACATTTCCCAGCCTCCTCTGCATTTAGTGTGATCAACTGACTGCAGTCTGGTCCGTACTTTATGGGAAGAAATGATGTTTGCTATTTCCAAGTCTGTCCCCTAAAAGTTCTCCCCCAGTTTCTGGCTGAATATAGAAACCAAAGTCCAAGAACAGGATGTTTGGGCTGGAGATTTAGCTCAGCGGCATAAGTGTCTGCCTTGTAAGCAGACAGTTGTGAGTTCGATCCCTGGTACCGATAAAAAGGAAAAGGACAAAAAAAAAAAAAAAAAAAAACCCAGGATGTTTAATCTCTTTTATGTCACAGATCTCTTTGACAGTCTAGTGAAGCCTGTGGACCTTCTCAGGACAATGTTTTCAAACGCATAAAGTACATAGTGGTAAAAAGGGTTGCAAGGCTAGGCTGGTGGTACATGCCTATAATTAATTCCAGCATTTGAGGCTGAGGCAGGAAGACTTCCCTGAGTTTGAAACCAGCCTGCGATACATGGTTGAAGGGCAGCCTAAACTAGATAACAAGACCCTGTCTCCAAAATCCAGACAACTACACTGACATACAGTTACACTGACAAGCTGTTACCAAAATATTTAAAGAATAGATCTGTAATACAATAATGCACATTCTTTTTTAACACTTTAAAGTATCTATCGCATTGACTATCACCGTTTAAAAGCACAGATAAAGGACACTTCATTTTGATACTTCATGTTGTCATTTTGGTCACAGATTCTGCTGTGTTACCACAGTTTATTTCTTATCCCGTAACTGAAGAAAAAGCTGAATTTCAGTTTAAGATGAAAGACAGTTTCCCTCTGTAGTAGATACATTTGGTGCCCTTCCAGGTCCCTTTACTGGATAAAAGTATCCCTCCCCCACTCCGGCAGCCCCACAAAACCTTGCTGAAACTGGCCAGTCCCCCTTTCCCAAGAGCACCCGCTCCAACCACAGGGCACAGCTCCTGCTCCAGAGCCTCCTGGGCCAGAGGCCAGCGAAGGCAAACCTTTCAGAGCTTTCAATGATTCGAACAGCCCACTGCAGCCCCCGTACCACAGGTTTGCCACCACTGCCCTAGGCCGGTCCAGGTCTCCAGGTGAGACTCGCCCCACTCGGCTCCTCTCCATCATCCTGTCTCTCTGACTCCCCTCTCTGACAGCACTCCCTCCACAGATGACTGGCCGAGGAACCCCCAGCTCAGGCCCTAGCTTCAAATTCAAGGTCACTGATACCCTGAATTCTATCCACAGAAGCCCCGGTGGACTCCACGCCAATGAAGGCAGTGGAAAGGAACTGAGACTGTGAATGAACAGAGTGAGGACCTCTCCTCCGTCCCACACTAAACGTGACAAGAGCAAACATTGAACATCGATCACTTTAGGCACCTGAGACTTGACAGCTGTCCAGCCCAGCTAGAGTTACAATGATTCTCGCATGTCACCATCCTGACACCTTAGGAAGTCAGTGCTGTTGGTATCCCATTTTACAGGAAAGGAAGCCAAGGCATGAACAAGTTAAATGACTTGCCAAGGTCACAGAGTGGGGAAGCGCAGGAGCTGCAGTTCTGAACACTGACTCCACGTACTTGATTGAGCATGTCGGGAGGATGCTCCGTGCTTGGCCAGGAGCCGAAGACAGAAACCCATGCAGCCGAGACAGGCCACGTTACCGAGTCAAACACAATTTAAATAAAAACCAGTCAACAGAACTCGCTGAGAAGGAAACCTAAGGACGTGTTATGGTTTAGATCTAAAATGCCTCTCATGTATTCAGGGGTGGGGATTTGGAAGGTCACTGGATCCTGGGAACCATACTCATTAGTGGATTAATCCAGTGATGAATCCAGCTGAACATGGTGTCAGGAGCAGGGGCCCAGTCACAAGGGGAGGGCCACTGGGGCACGCCTTAGGAAGGAAGCAGTATTCTGTCCCTGGTCCCTCCCTACCTCTCCGCTGCTTCCTGGCTGCCACAGTGTGGGCATCTGTCCTCCACCAGCCCCTTCTTCCACGCTGTTTCTGCCTTGGAGCCAACTGACTCTGGACTGAACCTACTGGAACCATGTGCCAAATAAACCTTCGCTCTTTTAGAAGGTAGGTATTCAGTATTCTGTTCCAGTGATAGAAGCATGACTAATACAGAAACGTTGGAAACACAAATCAGGAAGACACTGTATAGGTTGGCAGAGGTGGTAGATGGTTAGGGAAGGTTCCCTCGAGCATGAAACATTGAAGTTGCGACTTGAAGAAACACATCCTTTAGACCCAGGAGAAATAGGGAAGGACAGTGACCCAGGTAGACAGAAAAGCATGTGCAAAGGCCCTGTCAAAACGGCAAGAGCATGGTGTCCTTGGAGAAATGCTAGGGCAAGTCAAAGCAGTTTAGTTACATCTCTGAAGATGAGTTCATTCTCAGGGAGCGGAACTGAATGTGTCCTTTTCCCTCAGTCTCCTGCACACAGTGTGTCCACAATAAAGGAAATTAATTCCCTTCAGTTCCTACCATGCAGCAGGTATTTTATCTGTGCTATCCTTTTAATCTTCCAAACTGCCTTGCATTGGCTTTTGCTCCTCCCTCCATCATAGGCAGGGAAACTGAGGCTCGGAGTGGTATCTGGCAAGGCACTGGCTGTGTACCAAGGGCTTTAGGGAATTACCTTACTTAACACCCAGTCACTGCATGTTATTAGGTCATCCCTCCTTCCAGGGAGGAACTGCAGGCCTGGGAAGGTCCTGAAGAAACCACTCACACTTAACTGGCAAGGAAGCTGACAGTGTCCAAAGTCAAACTGAGGTGATCTGGGGTTAGAGCCACACCCAACCACGGCCCGCGGGGCCAGACTGCAAACCAGCACTGCCTGACTCCAAGCTGTCCTCTCCACGGTGCCACGCTGCCACACTGGCACCCACGGAGCGGAAGAACGCACGTGTGAATGCACACACACAGGCACGTGCGGACATGCATAGTGTGGACACCACAAAGAAAAGGGCAGGCTTTGGTCCCAGCAGCCTTGGCTGCCAATTTGGCCTCTGTCCACGGTGGGACTAAAGTCAAGTGAGGAGGCACTAGATCAACAAATTTGGTAAACACGATAAATCACATTTTAATGTTTATGCAGGTCCAAATTAATGTAAAAAATCCCTGATAAACAGACTATGAAGATATTGAGTGACTATACTGAGGACTGAACCCAGGGCGTTCCCAGTGAGCTACATTTCCAGCTCTTTTTTCTTCTCTTTCTCCATCTCCTCCCTCTTCCTTTTCTTTTTCTTGTTGATTTTGAGATGGGGTCTCACTAAGTCACTATGTTCCCCAGGCTCGACTCAAACTTGCATTCCCCAAGCCTCAGCCTCCCAGAGTGTTGGGATTACTAAGAGGCATGTACCACCCCAATGGCTAATGCAGACCACTTTGAATAAAGACTGCACTGCACCCTGGCATCCCTCCCTTACTCACCACATCCGAGGGATTCTAGGACTTTGGGTACATGGCTTTCCCAGTTTGTGTCTCAGTTTCTTTATCTGTAAAGTGGGGGTAATAATTCTACCCTATGGAGCTGCAGTCAAAATGAAATTAAGAGGCATCATGTGAATGTGTTTAACCCACTCGTGGACCCAGACAGTGATAATAGATTAGGGTGACGGGGGTGATGGTCAGGAAGGGAGGAGGTCATATGCAACACCAGAACTGTGGGTATCCTTGGGCCCCATGTGGCTGCACGTGGGTATGTGTGGGACAAAGTTATCATTTTCAGACCCACATTTCTTGGAACTTAAAGGAGGGGGGTAACAAACCTTCCAGCTGAAAAGATGTCCTTTTTTGGTTATGTAAGCTGAATGTCACTCATTTGCCAACGTCTGGGGGAGCTGGATGGCAGCCAGATCCCGGGAAGGTCCTGGGGGGCCCCAGGGGAGCCAGCACAGAGGTCCCCCATGCACACAGTCCCAGGTAAGAAGGCTGCTGTGTGTTGGAAAGAAGCACAGCTTGGCTGACTGAACCCTTTGCCCTTTGCCCCGCCCCACACCTCTGACCTCAGCCTCTAGCCTTCAGCCAGGAATCCCGGGGTTCACCCACACCCTCCTTCCCTGTCCCCATTAGCATCCACAACCAATCAGCCACCATCTCCTGTCTCCCCTGCAAAGCTCCCTCCCACCCTGCCTGTCCCACCCTGCCTGGAGCCTCCCTGGTGCTCCTGCTCCTGCACGCTGTGCTCAGGGAGCTCTTACGCAGCACGGCCAAGGACCCTTCCTCTTCCGATCTTTCCAAGGCCTTCTCCAGTGTACATAGTAAAGCCTTCCCTGCTTAACTAACACAGTCTTCAGGGCACCCCACGCCTGCAGTCAAAGGAGTCTTGATGGGACAGGCATACCAGGGCATTCCCCAGAGTAAAGGGCTGGGGAACTGCTGTCCCCAGAAACCAGCACTCCGACTTACAGCATGGCCACACACCCCCACCCGCACTCCAGCATCCTTGTCCACCAGGGCGTCACACATGCAAAGCGTTGAGCTCTGCCCCAGACCTACTGAGTCAGAATTACAGCAAGGTGCCCAGAAGCTGTGGTTCATGGCTCTCCAGGTCCTCTGTTGTCACTGA